CAAAAAAAAATGTATGTTGATAAAATTTTAATTTATACTCTTTCGAAAATCTATTCAACTACATTGCTATAGTAATATTAATTTTGAACCAATATCTATTAGACAAAACTTTGAGCTAAAAGCTTCAAACTACATATATTCAAATTAATGCAATCCGATAAATCAAGAGAGGTTAAGCCAAAAACACCTCTATCATTAGAAATTCCGAAAATGGCTGATGAAGATAAACCACAAGGCACACCTGCAGAACCTACATGCTCAAAGCAGAGTATAAAAAAAAATGATCAAAAGATCAGACAATATCTAGATTTATCACTGAAAGCGATATTTTATAAGATATTGCACAAGACTTCAAGCTTCCCCTATTACTGACATCACAGAATCAGTTTTCAATATAAAACTATAAAGTGTGAACAATCTCTAGGCACGTCTTTTGGCAGCGTACGATACAGTACTACATACTAGTACTACATACCGACGACGCAGAACTCCCAGAAAACGCAAAAGCTTCGGCGACAGCCAATGCTCAGTATGAGTTAACAAAGGCAATGATAACTKAACAAATAAGTTTAGTTAGGCCGAGTAGTGGCTCTACCCCCTCCCAGGGTAGTTACAACACCAAAAGACCTAGATAAAGGCATGTATCTCAAAGTACCAGCTTGTGATACTGAAGTTTTTAATGGATGTATGACCAATGGCCGTCCTTCCTCCTTCCGGGATATGTTCACTGCCGTTTATATAAACCATCCTAAACTCTCACAAGCACAAAAATTATACCATCTAAGGTACAAAACAAAAGGGGAAGCAGGCAGTATCGTCAAGCCGTTCTCTTTAAATGACGAAAATTTTAAGCTGGCTTGGGAAGCACTGGTCGAAAGATACGAAAATGGAAGGGTTATGATAGAAAACCCAATAAAAACATTATTACATCTACCAAAAATTCAAAAGGAAACCAGCCAGGAATTTCAAAATTTATACTCGACAGTGACTAATTGCATATCACTGTTAAAAACACAAAATATCTCCACAGAATCGTGGGACCCTATCATAGTAACTATTTGTGCAGAAACTCTCCCTGATGCTGCGTTACTACGATGGGAACAATCACTTATGGAAAGCAAAAAAATGCCCACATGGGAATAAATGAAATCATTCCTTACTGCTCAATACGAGATAGCTGAGCGAATTGACAACAAAAATATAAATCTAAAAAGTCATCAAAAATGACTCAAGTAAACACTTGTTTAAACTTCAAGCCAGCAATAATATGCAATACAATAAACAATAAAACCAAACAGTCAAACCAAACCAATAAATGGCAATCATTATGTGAAATTTGTAAAGGAGGTCAGTCATAATATAAGATCTTGCGAGAAATTTAAAAAACTATCCGTTTCTGACAGGAACAATCTTGTCAGACAACATAAAATTTGCATCAACTGTCTGTCGYATGCTCATACGACAAAAGACGGTGAAAGCAAATTTAATTGTGTGTACTGTCAAYGAAGACATCACTCACTGCTTCATATTAYTAACTTTCGAAATATGAAGAAAAATCAATTTCAAAAAACTACGGGGTTAGTTGCTACAACTACATCAAGTAGACCTGAAATTTCAAATCCCGAAAAAAGGGAAGAACAACCATGTTGCTCTAAAGCAGCAAAAATTCAAGCGCTTCATTCAGAAAATGAAAGCAAAATTCTTTTACCCACTGTTATCACCATAGAACTTAAGGGTGATTTATTCAAACTAAGAGCACTAATAGATCAAGGCTCTCAAAGATTTTTTATATCATCAAAGGTTCAAAATCGGCTCAAATTGCCAATAAAACATTCAAATTTCCAAACTTCGGAAATGGGCGGAAGAATTATCCAAAATTCGAACAAAATATGCCCAATTACCATAGTATCTCCAGATGCGAATATTAGAATAGATGCACAAGCCATCGTTCTACCGCAACTTACAAATTTGCTTCCAAGCTATGAAGTGAATAAAATACACTGGGAAAAATGCTCACATCTCAAATTAGCAGATCGCAATTGTCATACCCCATCACAAATCGACATATAATTAGGAAGTGACTTCATACCTCAAATAATTCTTGAAGGTATAGAGAWAATCTCCAATAAATTGTTAGCCCAAAATACAATCTTTGGGTGGATTATAAGTGGCCAAGTCCATGAAAAAATCAATTCTTTCACCACACAGGTGGGAAAATGTCTCAAACGGATATTTTAAATAATCAACTTAAAAAATTCTGGGAAATTGAAGAACTACCAAAAATCACCCAACTTTCAGAAGAAGACCAGGCATGCGAATTAATTAATTGCCTATTACACATTACAACAGCTAATATAGGGGGTGAGAAATTCCAAGTCAGGGTGATGGTACTAGGTCAGTATAGTAAAACCCTCAAAGGGTTTGGCGTTCGTATGTGTCAGTTTTTTTTTATGACCTTTTAAATTTTTTCCTTATTTCCCATGGTTTTCCATCAGAACAAATTAATTTTTTCCAATCAGGCGTACTAAATGATCCAGATATACGAAAGCTAATTAAAAGTGACGCGTTCAACAATATTTTGATTGATATATATTGAATGCATGRCAGGCAATCAAAGAAGTAATAGAAGGCTTGTTGGGAAAGCAACTACTACGATGTTTCTGTCGCAAGGGTGTTAAGAGTATTCTCGGAAATTGTTTTTTTTTTTGTTCTTTGGTTTTTGGCAAAATGTTACAACTAAGCGAAAAAACATCAAGATGCAAACGCATACGTGGACGATATACTGTCAGGTAGCCATAGTATCCCATTAGAATCCCTATCGCAAGTGATCAAAGCATTAAATTCAGCAGGGTTCCTCTTAAAGAAGATTATATCAAATCACCCTGAAATAATATAAGACATTAAAAAGGAAGAATTATTAGATACAGATTTCATTAAATTTGAAACGGCCAGTACAACAAAAACCCTAGGGATTCAATGGAATGCGATACCATATCAATTCTCATATACAATTGAGTCAATATCTGCAATGTCCGCCCTAACCAAACTTCAAATACTTTCCTCTGTGGCAAAACTTTTCGATCAAGCAGGATGGCTTTCGCCAATAATGATTCAAGCAAAAATCCTCATTCAAGAATTGTGGCAGGATGGCACTGAATGGGAYGAACAGGTAAAACCTCTTCCTTTAACAAAGTGAGTACAATTTGCTAACAATTGCTAACATTAACACAGAATTACACGGTTCCTGTGATGGCTCTGAAAAAGCTTATTGTGCAACAATTTACGTACGCATACAGTACGATAACAAAATATCTGCACACCTCTTGGTAGCCAAAGCCAATGATGCATCTTTGAAGACACTCAGTCTGCCACGGCTTGAACTGAATGGTGCTCTTCTGTTAGCAAAATGAATTTCAATAGTTCAAACCCATCTGAAATTAACCGATCTTAAAACGTATCTTTGGTCAAACTCAGAAATAGTTTTAGCGTGGTTAGAAAAACCACCTATTGCTGGAAGACCTATGTATCTAACCGAATATCCTAAATTTTAGACTTGGTTGGCCCACCAGAATGGCAACATGTTGCAAGTGCAGATAACCCAGCTAATCTTGGGATAATAGGTTGCAAACAACTGCACCTCACCAGCATTACACTCTGGTGGAACGGTCCCACATGGCTAACAGAATCATAAGAATTCTGGCCAAGGTCTCCCGCTCGTAGTATAATACCGCCGGAAAGTCGGAAAATTGAAAATTTTCATATCACTCCAGAAAAGGATGATATTCTCCATCGATTTTCTTCATTTGCTAGAGCATTAAGAGTAGTCGCTTGCATGCATACATTCATTCAAAGACTTAAACAGAAAATGAAAGGAGCACCAAATGATCCTTGCGTACACCTAACGCATTCCGACTTGCAACATGCCAAGGTCAGTCTAATATTATATACACAAACTCGCTATTTTAGCAAAGAGAAATCAAAGTTGCTCGAAAAGCGACCTCTCGAAAAGGGAAACTCACTTCTCGTATTGAATCCATTCTTAGACTCTAAGGGATTAATAAGTGCAAATGGAAGATTCCCGAACTCCAGCCTTAGTCATAACGAACGACATCCCATCATTATTCCAGAGAAATCCCGTTTTACTTACCTATTTCTATCATATCTGCACCAGCTTACACTGCATGGTGAGCATCGCTTAATGCAACAAATGGTCCGTCAAGAATTTTATATATCGCGACTAAAGCCACAAATCAAAAGGACGATTTTCGTGTGTAAAACATGTACCATGTACAAACACAAAATGCGTACGCAGATCATGGCAGATTTGCCAGCTGAATGCTGCAACTATGCTCTACCCTTTACCATCACTTTGGTTGATTTTGCTGGACCTTTCCAGATAAAGGCCTCCATATTAAGGTCTTCTTCATTTAGAAAAGGGTATGTGGCTCTCTTTGTATGTTTTACGATCTTTGTTCAGATCTGATCAAGATTCTCCATCACGAATTCAGCCACAGATGGAAGGAAGACTATCTCAAAGATCTCCATAAGAGATATCGATGGAAAACGGCCCAGAAGGAAGCCAATGTAAGAGAATGCGTCATCATACAGGACGAATGCCTTCCCCTAACAGAATGGTGACAAGGCTGCATTGAAAAGGTTCATCGAGGATCAGATGGTCACATAAGAGTAGTCGATGTTCGAACACAAACCGGCATATTAACTCGACCCGTCACTGAACTGTGTTTTCTTCCAAACAGCGAAGAACAACTCCAACCAAAACCGCAAAATAACTCGCAAAAATAATCGAAAAAATAATAAATCAAATCCGCTGCTTCGAAATTAACCCGCTTTATAATCCGTATATAAAAATAGACTCAAACAAGCGCGTTGAAGAYCAACCAATTGTACATATACATACATATGTATAGATATGTAGCTACAACAACTACACTCTAACATTATAAATAAAATCAATTTAATGCAATTGTATATTCCCATAGAAATGGACGTAGAGGAGACCCGAACCATATACAACACCGTAAGGTCCGAAATCGCTACACCGAAATCGTCGGATCCACCCGTTGCCGCTCCAAAGACCAGGGTCATGCGACCACCGCCATCCGATCCGAAGAGAGAGAAGAGCAGCTATTGGAGCCACAGGGGCCTCCATGTTCCAGCCTGTGCCATCGCCCACTGCCCATCGCCCCTGAAACGATACACCAATTTTAAGAGCATGAAGCACTCTGAACCACAACTGGTTGCAAGAGCCCATGGGCATTGCATGACCTACCTGGCAGATGACCACGCCACCATAGGGTGCTGGGCCGACGACGCTTGTCAATATTGCCAAAGGCCGCATCACACTCTATTTTATCGATTTCCTCGCCGAACYAATCTGCCTGAACATCACACCAACACCCGTACCAGACCACGCAGCGATCCTATCCGGCGACGACGACGCACCTCACCTCACCATCACGTCACGTCACAACACCTCATCACACAACAGTTCACAGCATACACCAATACACACACACGCATCAAAAACAGTACTTAACACCGTTCATTATTACAACACAACAACCACACGATCATCAACGAGACGCCTCGAATAATCTACTATTCACCACCCAAACTATGAAAAGGGATAGATCCGAACTGGATCCTCTCTTTTTCGTTTCGTCCGTGAAGAAAGACGGTCGACCCGCAATTATTTATTTTTCCTAAAACCGCAACATCCGAATTTTTCTATTTATGTGTTCCCGCCAAAGTGACGTAGTGACGTGAGTCCCGTATTTCGCCGCAGTGTCAGTATGTGGAAACCAAAAAAATACAAACTAAATAAAAGTGTTATACAAAGAAAAAACAAAAAAACAAAAATAAAAACAAAAAAAAAATACATACATTCAGTAGTCAGTAGTAAGAAAGGAATACAAGCTACTATGGCCATCGCCTCCGATATAATAGTATAAAATTACAAAGTTTATATTTTATTATAATAATTACATTCTTTTAGAAAATTACATATATTAACAATGATTGCGAAAGATGGTGTATTTAATAATGTTTGATATTTACTAGAATTAAAGTGTTTTTGCCTAATACTCTAGTCTAGTGCTGGACAGATATTGAATATATGTTTCATGGATATGGATGGATGAATACATGTCCCATGTGTTGGGGCAGAATGGGCAGGATGGTGTAGGATTTCCGCCAAGAAGTTGTTGGTGAGTGATTTGCGTGTGCCCGATCCTTAATCGAGTGAAAATTGTTCCTTACTGCCTTGAGATGTTTTTAGGGTAGCGTACCTTTTCACGTAGTTTATTTACGATTGCGTATTTGTGTTTAAATTTCTTTCAGTCCGCAACTTTATTTTCATATATGTGTCTGCTTAACATTTTACTGAGGTCATTTTGGTCTTGCATCTCGTTAAGAAAATTGGGGGCAGATTCGAAGAAACTTGCAGCGTTGTCAGCATATTCGTTCCCAGGAATGCCAACGTGACCTGTCACCCAGAGAAGAGCTAGTTTTCTTTTATATTTAATGCAAATATCTCTAATTTTAGATATTACTATGGAATTATTTCGTATGTTGCGTATGGCGTTCAAGGAGGAGAAGCTGTCTGAGCAAATAAGGAATTTGCCTTTTTGTAAGATACCATATTTTAATGCAATATATATTCCAATTGCCTCGGCGGTAAATACGGACGGATATGATGGAAGGATTCCGCCAGTAAAAGTTGTCCCGTTAGCTGTGGTAACAGCATGGGCAGTATTAGTTAATTTGGACGCAAAAATTTGAAAATTTCTTTAAATTTTTTATACTTATAGACGTTGCTTACTTCTAAGAAGTTTTGTTGAAAAACTGTGTTACTGGTGGTGGATTTTTTGAAATTATGTAGAGATGTATTTATTGAAACATTACTCATTAGCCATTCAGGTTGAGTGAAATGAGCATTCGATTTTTTAAAGTTCATTATATTTGCATCGGTTATGGAATTTCTTAGAGTTTTCCAGCATTCAATTTTTTGTGTGCGAAGGTCTTCAAGCTCTTTATTCCAATAAATGGGGGAGGCTTTAGAAATATTTCTTATACTTTGGGGAATTGATTTGTTAGCTGCCGAGCGTATAGGTTTTGTAATAAAATAGGTTTATTGGTTTATATTGCCTGTCGGCGAGTATTTCATACTATTTAATATCTCTGCTTGAAATTTGTCCCACTTAGCTAAGTCTGTTTTAAATCGGTAGGAGGTGAGTGCATTTTGTAGGATGTAGGACATTAGCAATATTGATTGAAATTGGGAAGTGGTCTCTACCTTTAAGTTCGGAAAAAACACTCCATTCGATTCTCGGAGACAGTTCGGGAGAAGAAAAGGAGAGGTCTACATTGGTGAACGTTGAATGAGTTGAAAAGTGGGTGGGAGCGCCATTATTGAGTAATGACAGTTGGTGGTTTGTTATAAGGTTTTCAATTATCAAGCTCCTTGGATTTAATTTGGGAGAGCCCCAAAGTGGGTTCCAAGCGTTGAAGTCGCCAACCCATAGAAAAGGTTTGGTAAGCTGATGATATATACACCTTAGGTCGGATTCGTTAAGAATTTGCTGAGGGGTAATGTAAGTATTAATAGCACAAATTGGATGGCTAAGTTTTAATTTGATTGATATGGTAGACAATGTTGCAGTAATATTAAAAATGTCCTGAAGKATATGTCTTTTAACTAGTATACCAATTCCTTGTTTGTTAGTATGTATGTTGTTTAAATTAAAAAAGTAACCAGTGTATTGTTTGGGAAAGTATGTTTTTTGGATATTTGTTATTGAAATGTGAGTTTCCTGAATACATATCACATCTGTGCTCTTTTCTTTGATAAGTAATTGGAGCTCGTGGTAATTGTTCCAATATCCATTCATGTTCCACTGAATAATTTTTAATACCATTGATAAAAAATGAGCGGATAGCAGAACGTGAGAATATGTATTTATGTGAATAGTCGTTTATGAAGTGTTCCGTTATTCTAGCATTTCGTTTTCAGATGTGTTTTGTTCTTGGGTAGCGAGAACTTGAGAGAGAGTTTTGAGAGGTTGATAATATGATAATTGAGAGAAAGAGTATGGTGAGTTTGGTTGAAGAGGTGGATTTATATTATAGTTTGTTTCTTTTTCGTTTTGATCTGTGATTTGATATGAGATTTATTTTATTTGTTGGTGATAATAGTTGATGGAATGTTATTATTTCTTTTTATTGCTGTATCAGATTCTATTTTCGGGGAGTCTGGTATGTTGGCTTGTTTGCTAGGTGTGCTGGATATATGGGAAAGGTCTAAATTGCAAATGGTCAATKGGTTTGTGTTTTGTTTAAGTTTTCTTTTGTTGGCATTATTGTTGTTTCCGTAAATTGTGTTGGCGACGTTGATTCTATTGTTTGGTGTAACTAGGCTATAGCTTTTACTGGTTTTGCTTGTGTTTGTAGTGGATGCAATGTCAGCATATGAGCTATTGGAAGAGTTTGTTACGTTTGCTTGTTGTTTGTATATTTTTGTAGCTTCCCGCATTGACCACYTGTTCATAGTTTTGATTTTTTGAATTTCTTTAGCTTGTACAAATTTTGGACATTCCTTGGAGGAGGAGGGGGGTGCTTGGAAACAATTAGCGCAAAAAGTGCGATCACAGTCGGAAGGAGAATGAGGAAGGAGTGAAGAGTTTTCACAGAGAGGAGGGCGTTGGTATTTATTTTTTGTATGCCCAAGAATGCACCGCATGGAGAGGGGTATATATTGGCGAACTAATACTTTGAACTAGGCGATATCGATTTTATTGGGTAAATTATAARGATTAAAAGTGAGCAAGACCACTCCCGACGGTAATAATTTCCCATCTATATATTTTTTAAATTTATAAACTTCAACCACTACTTGGGAGGATAATTCTTTAATGATTATCTCCTCTGTAACATTGTTGAGAAAAGGAGCGTATACGGTACCTTTCACTTGATTGAGTAATGCGTGTAGCGTGGCTAATATAGGACAGACGCCTACCAATTGTTTTGCCCTTAGAAATTTTTCGGCTATTTTGTTATTCTTTACCAGAAGCAATAGTTTTCCATCACGAAGAGTGGATATGTTATGAACTTCACTGCTAATTTGTTTAATGGCATGGTGTTTGTGAAACATGGGTAGGATATAATAGGTCGGGAGAGATCAGTACCTTCAATCACAATTAATTTTGGGTCGTCTGCCTTATTTTCGGGAAGAAATGGGAAATCTTCTAATTGAACAGTTATGGGAGGTTTGCGTTTTTTTCTTTTAGGTCCCGCGTCAAGTATAGAGAAGCGATTCTCCCTGATAGTTGATGACCTCGGCGCCATCATACACGTGTAAAAGTTTATGTTTTTGAGGTTAGAATGCTAGAGAGCAATGTAAACACGACTAATGAAAGAACTAAAGCACTCGCGAGCGGTGAAAAATGAATTAAGTAGGCGATGAAATTAAGAAAAGCCCTGCGTAAGCGAAAAGCAAAAGACGTCTTTACGGCACGAGAGATAGTCGATGACTGTGAACAGAGAACGTATATTTATAGAGAAGGTCCAACAACGGACAGGCGTGTAAACTTTCAAAAGCTAACAAAATGCGATGAGGACGTTTCACCACAGCTAGCTAAGAAGGAGAAATCTTAACAATGGAGCGTGAAGAGAGCTGAGCATTCAATGAAAATCATGCTCAGAAATATACATTCGTACTGCAGACGTATGTTAGCATTTTGCATATAATTCTATACATTTACATGCAATTATATTAATTGATATTGAATATCATTTTGCGAGTTTTTGTGAATGCATGCAAAATTGATAACTTCATCATTAAATTATGATATTTTCAAAGTAACATTTGTAGTTAAAGTACAAATAAGAGCTACTCTTTAAATATTTCATATGTTTGATAATATATTATAAATTTACATATGAGTATGTAGATATGCTACATACATACATATATGACATACTGTCATAATATCGTAAACAACTTATTGTAATATATTACAATAATATTATATGTAAATTGCATTTCTTTTCAATTTTCATACGTATTTACATATCAGCACATAGTTACATACCTACATATKKAAGTACAATTCAAATTCAAATCGTGATATTATCATTTATCAGTAAAAAGTGTTCGCGCACTGCTGCTATATGTACATACATACATCCATATTCATAATTGTACGACATTGCCGGAAAATTAATGCATACACAAACCAACATACTTACATGCGTTCCCATGTAGATATGTATGTCGCACGCAAAAAGTACGAATATTGTTCTACAAACGTCTACAAGCGTCACAAGTCAATATGGCAGCCAATTCGTAGACAAACACACAACAACCATATTTTCATTCATGAACGAAAGCGCACTTTCAACAGGCAAACTTGCTTCATTCATAAAAACACCATTACATCTCCCAGAGCATGCCTTTGACAACAAGCGTCTTTTCTCGACGTCGACAAAAGCTAAAAATCATAAATTGAACAMTTTCTGATATTTCTATGAGAAGGAAAAAGCCACAACCCCGCAAATATAAGTATAGAATAAAATTGACAACATAGTTTATTTGTCGACATTCAAGTCRAGAAATCTGCCAAAGAAAATATTCAATATTCCTCTGATTTATGTGTACGGTGAATCCCGGTTAAGTAGTATTCCGCTTAAATGAAAATCATTTCTCTTAACTGCCCATATCTTGCTGCATATCACGTTTTTTTTTTGTTTTTGAAATGATCGACACATTGACTTTTTGAAAAAACTTGAGCTCCAGCCATTGGTTGCCCGTGAAACCAAGATTTCGCATGAAGTAATAAGTGTACACATTTTCATACAAAGTTGTGGGAAGACAAATTTACAAACATTATGCGTGTGGTTTTTTTTGTTTACATGCACACCTAATTAC